TCTCTCTCTCTCTCTCTCTCTCTGTCTCTCATGAATAAATAAATAAAATCTTTAAAAAAAAAAGAAAAAGAAATAAAAGATACCAGCTTTGGGAAGCCATCCAGCTCCTGAGCAGAGATGGGATGATAGAGAGGGGCAGCGTCCTGCTCCCTCCCTTCTCTTCTCATAACCCATCTGCTGGGCAGCTTGAGGGCGCTGCCTGGCCTACGTCCGTCCCCCTAGCTCCCCCAGGTGGGCCCTCCACCCGGCCAGCGCCCCAGCCGGGGTGAGGGGGCATCTGCGTGCTGTCGGAGCAGGGGTGGGGCAGGGAGGCGCCCACACAGAGGGGTGAACCGGCGTAAACACTTTGAGAACGGCCTGGCCCGGGGACTCCTGGAGGCAGGGACAGGGACCTACACTTTGCGGCCATTCCTTGACCTGTGCATTTGCATTTCAGGACTTTCTGTAAGGTTTATATTTCAGTCAAAACAAAGGTAGTGTTACTGGGGCAGAGCACGCGACAGGACGAGACAAGGACTCTTACCGGGGACTCCGGCCGAGGTGCAGACGCTGGGCTGAAAGTCGGTGTAAGAGGAGGGCCTCTTGGAAGGATCTAACACATCTTCTACTTGTTCTTCCAAGGTTTTAAATTTATGCTTTAGGTTTCGTATTTCTGTTTCAAGGACTGTAACGTGATCTGCCCCCAAAAAACCAGTGAATACACAGGCATACACATTGACACTCCCCTCCACCGTCACCAGGGCAGAGGCCCACCCAGGCTGGGGCCGCCTGCTCGCGGCCCGCCCCCCACAACGGCCACTGGCCGCCACAAGCCGGCAGACACCCAGCGCCCCCTCGTGAGCCTTCATGCGCAGTGTCATGGCCATTCCTGGGCCCCTCCTCACCGCGCACGGGGCGGAGCCCAGCTCGGCTACAGCACAGGACGCTCCGAGGAGAGGCCTGCTGCCCGCCACTCGAACCCGGTGCCCAGCCACCTCCCCGTGCCAGGTACACAGCCTTCGCGGTCCTCTTCCCTTTACCAATACACGCTGTTATCCCACACAGAGGCACGGACTTAAGACACTCTCTCTCCGAGGAAATGCTGCTGCCACAGTTTGAAGTAATGTTTTAAAGCAGACGTTCATGCATAAGACTCCAGGGGAAGCCCATCTTGGACCCAGTGGAGACCCATGTCCCCTGCCCTCCCCTCTCCTGCTGCCCTCGCCCTCGCTCACCAGGAGCCTCAGTTGCTGCCTCTGGGCTTGGACGGGGCTGCTCTGTGTCGGAGGACTGACCCCCTGACGGGGCAGCAGGAAGAACGAGGTCACTCAGGGTCTCCATTTCTTTCCTCATCTCTGAAACAGCCCTTCGTAAGCTTGTGTTTTGCTCCTGGAGCCTCTGGATCTCACTAGACGGAAAACTTCCCCTTATTTCTTCCTCGTGATGCCTTAGGAGCATCTGTCAAGAAAGAAAGAGAATGCTCACAGCTACAGAAGAACCCTGCGGCTCACTGCCCGTCCAGGGCCGGCTGTGTCCGCGCCCCCCTCGTCTGCCCTCCCGGCTCAACTGACGACACCGAACTTCTAGTTGTCACAAAGACAAGGCTGCTGTTGGCCAAAGGCAGCTTCTCCTGAGAAACCTGGAAGCCACCGCCCACCCATGGGGCGGCTGGCGTGGAAAGGACAGGCAGGCGACGCGGGGCCGTCAGCCGCCGGGAAGGCTGCTTGCGGGCGGGCGCCGCTGCATCGCGGGGAAGACAGTCTGGCGGCTCCTCAAAGGGTTAAACACGGAGTTACTACATGACCCACAATTCCACCCCGAAAACATACGTCCACCTAAAAACTTGTACGTGCGTGTTCACGGCACCGTTTTTCAAAATGTGCAAACACAAGTGTCCCCAGTGGACGAGTGAACGAAAACAAACGTGACACAGTGGAACAGCGCTCAGCCACAAAAAGGAATGAAGTTCCAATACACGCGATCACACAGATGAACCATGAAGACCTGCTAAGTGGTGGTCCAAGAGCTCAGTGCAGTTATGATCATAAACACGCTCAAGGGTGTAAAGAAAAACAGGGACATAACAGGAAGAGGAATGGAAGATAATTTTAGAAAACCAGACACCACCCACAGAGATGAGAAATTCACTGAGCTGACGGGACGTCGCAGAGGAGGGCTCCGTGAGCGCGAGCAGGCGGCAACAGCAAGTGCAGCTCGAGCACCGAGTGAGACTGGAGAGAGTCATCAGGCTCAGCAGAAGAAGTACTTCATTTATTTATTTATTTTTAAAGATTTTATTTATTTATTTGAGACAGAGAGAATGAGATAGAGAGTGCATGAGAGGGAGGAGGGTCAGAGGGAGAAGCAGGCTCCTTGCCAAGCAGGGAGCCTGATGCGGGACTCGATCCCAGGACTCCAGGATCATGACCCGAGCCGAAGGCAGTCGCTTAACTGACTGAGTCACCCAGGCGCCCGAAGTACTTCATTTATAACAAATGTGATGAACACGTAAGTCCACAGATCCAAGAAGTCCACCGAACCCAAAGCAAAATAAACACAAAGAAAATCACACCAGACAGCACATCATGATCAAACTGCTAAAAAAGATCAGTGGTAGAGAGAAAACTCCCGGAAGTGATCAGAGGAAAACAGGGTATTCCGTGGTGTGACGGGCGCAAACGCAGGTTTCTGCCGACCCCTCGTGACAGCCGCTGAAACCCTCGAGACAGAGGGCTGGTGTGCGGCGTGCAGGAAGGGACACCCCAGCTGCCTTGCAATCCAACGGTCAGCGGCGGCATCCTTCAGAAATGACAGTGACCACGAGGGGCTCACTGCAGCGGGGCCTGCTGCTGGCTGTAAACAACCAGAAAACCAGACGCGTTCCAGGAAACGAGTGTCTGCCCACAGGCCAGCACAGGACCGGGATGCCTGAGGCTCGGGCCAGGGAACGCGGCCCTGCAGGCGGACTGCCCAGTTCTGGGTCCAAGCCCAAGCAGAGGCCCCGCTCACAGACAGGCACCTGCCGACAGGCCGGCCGCCCCGGCTGCCACACAGGCTCCGCAGCTCCAGCCTTCCTGCGGCTTGCCCAGTCCTGCGGCACTGACCCACCTGAGCAGAAGGTGAACTTCCACCAAGCTCCCACACGGCCGTGCAGCCTTAGGACGACAGGCGCTAACCGGCCCAGCGGCCGCGGGGAAGAGAAGGGCCATACGGTCAAATGCACAACCACGCACATTGTGTTTTGACGAATCACAAGGACATGAAACACAGTCGTCGTAGAAGTGGAAAAAAAGACTCAAAATTATATAGCACAACCTGAAGTCTATAAAAATAGTACGTGCATGGGGGCACGTTTAAGACCCACAGGAAGAGGCAACTAGAGAAACGCACCAGAGTGCCTGAAAGGCCCGACCACGGGTACTTCCACGTCCTCTGGAGGGCCAGGCGCTGGGTCACAGCCCCCCTTCAATGCTCTGCGAAGGGGATGCATCACACAGATGAAGCAATGGACGCTCGAGCTAACGAGGTCTGACCCAGCCGCCACGCCGTCTCCACGCTGCCCCCGCGTGCTCAACCCACTGCCACGCGCCGGCCACTCTTTCATTTGCCACGAAAGTGCCCTGGAGGCTGCGAGAGGAAGCCTGCTCCAGGCCACACAGGAGCTGAGCCGGGTTGGACCTCCGGTCCGCCTGGTTCGAGGCCACGCCGCTGAACGGAGATTGTTGAGTTCTTGCAGTGGCCACACGTTACTTCTCCCTCCAGAAGGCAGCTAGCTCTTTTTCTACTGAACACAGACCTCAGCTTTCCAACACCCTCCCCCCGTCACGCCCTCCGCGGCCCCACTGCTCGCCGCGGACACTGCAGACAGGAAGGGCCACCTGTCACCCTGCAAACCCCCAACCTCCCTTTCCCATGCCCGGCGGAACGTCTCACACAAAACGTCACAGCTGCCCCTGCACAGACCCCAGAGCAGAGCCGCGTGGGACCTGCCGCTGGCCCGGCCCTGCTCAGATGCTCCCTCTGCCGCTGTGGGGCAGGGACCACCCCTCTCGGGGTCCTGGCTCCCTCATCTGTAGGACGGGACGGCAGCATCAGCCCCCAAACCCTGGGGCAGCCCAGCCAGCTCCGAGAGCCATGATCTCGTCTGGCACGGGCTGTGCACTGTCCTGCGCCCCGTAGCACCGGGAGGGCCGGGTCTTCCGAGCCTGGGGCCGTCACCGCCGGGGACTGACGCGGTCCCTGCTCAGCCTCCATGCATGCAACCGGGCAAGTGACCTTTCATAAAGGACAGAGGTCGGACTACTGGACACACAGCCCCTGGCGCTGCCCCAGAAGCCACCTCCCCTGCCGTGTTTCCCCGATTTCCCAGCGACACGGCTTCCCTCAGGGGCCTTGAGGTGAGACCTGTGGGGGGCTGGGGCCTCCTGTGACGCTGACCGTGGGGCATGTGCCTCAGGCCGGAAGCAAACGCTCCCTCGGGGGCCCTGGCTAGAACCCTTCCTGCCTCTTCCAGCTTCTAGCGTGGACCCGCACTCCTCCGTGTCCCTCGGTCTGGGGCCACGTCGCTCCCGTGTCTGCCTCCGTCGGCACCTGGCCTTCTCCCTGTGTCTCCACGTGCTGTGCTTTTTATAAGGACGCCAGTCATGTTGGATTAGGACCCTGCTCCCGAGTGAGCTCATCTGAACTGGTTACATCCACAAAGACCCTATTTCCAAGTAAGGTCGCATCCCGAAGAGCTGGCGGTTAGGACCGGAACCTGTCTCTTCCGGGCCACCGTCAGCCCGCGGGCCCCTCACGGTCACTGTCAGGCTCTGGGAGGCTGTCCGTCAGCGCAGAGATCTTTGTGGGGAGGACACGGCCACGGCTGTATGTCGGTGGCTCAGACAGCAGGTGTGAAGACGCATGTCTCTGGGATAAATTCTAGCCCCTTAGTTCTGTCCTTCCTGGAGAGACACAGGCTTCCATTACTAGAGGGCCCTCGGCTGCACCCTGGGATGTCCTTCCGGACGTGACCGTACACTGCGTCCTCCAAAATCAGCACCGACGCCGACAAAGCTACCAGGACAGGAAGCATTCTTCCCAATTTTTAAAGTAAGTGAGCCGGCTCTGTGGCCAGTGACGTGGCAGGAAGGACACTGGTGTCCCTGCCGCCCACGGATCCCTCCCCATGAGCCTTCCCGCTGCCCTGTGCTGCCGAGGCCTGAGGGAGCCTCCGTGGTCATGTGCCACGTCCTCCCCAAGGCTGTGGCTCCCGCCCAGCTGTCCTCACAGACACTGGGTCATTTTCCTGCGTTCTGACAATTCTCATGAATGACCGAGACAGGATCACCAGATGTCAACTCTGAGCCTGCGCCAGAACTTACGTTCTTGAGAGAAGAAGTAGAGGTCTTGGGTCCTGTACACAGCTTAGGACAAGTTAGGAACATATGTATACACACGTACGTCTTAGTAACCTCTACACCCAGCGTGGGGCTCAAACTCGACCCTGAGATCAAGAGTCACGTGCTCTACAGACTGAGCTGGCCGGGCGTCCCAAATTACAAATATCTTGACACTGGTTAGGAGCTGAGCCCTGGACACACGGCCAGCGCATCGTCTTGGAGGAAATCCTGCCCACCTGGGTCCCTGTGACAAGCCAGAGGTCTGAGCGGCTGCTGCCCTTGGGGTGGGGACAGGGACGGGGACCAATGGGAAGGGGAACTTCCGGGGTGACAGAAATGCTCTGTATCTTGTTGGAGGGCTGGGCCCCATGGGCACAGTCGCGGCAAACACACTGACCTGTGTGCACTGAAGATCTGTGTGTTTCACTGTGTGTCAAACGAAACAAGAACTGTTCATTGGCCTGGAAAAATCCTCCACCTGCCCCTCCCGCTCCCCCACCTCATGCTGCCCCTGCCCCTCTGACCGTGGACCTTGGAGCCCGGCCCTGCTCCTTCCAAACCGTTCCGCAGGGTCCCTGTGTCTCGGGCCACGGCACCGACCTCAGCATCGGAGGATCCAAGGGCCGGGACAGAGTTCTCGGCAGACCTGCCTGACTCAGGCAGTCCCTGCGGACGGGGTCACGGCACACAGCGACCCCCCACAACAGCTCCGTGGAGGAGGCCGCGGAAGCAACAGTACACTAACCATCTGTATGGCAGAACGGCAGAACGTGGGTGTTCTTGAGATTTCAAGAACTAAAGATACGAAGAAGAGTCTGCGCACAGGGTCACCTCAGCTCTTCCGGGGGCCAGACTGGCCCCTGTTTGCTGACAGACACGGGAAAGGAACAGGGCTGAGAGGACCGGCCTCCAGTTGGCTTCTGTGTGGCCCCGTTCTCCCACGGCCGCTGTTGAGGGAAGGCTCAAGGAGCGGGCCGCTGGGGCGTGGGCCTTCCCAGGGGAGGCTTAGGGAGGAGAGGGGCAGCACTGACCTGCACCTCCTTCTCAGGAAGGAGCCCCTGTGTCCTCAGCGCCTGCACGGCCTGGTCTCTCTCCAGGGTCAAGGCCTTCAGCACCACCTCCTGGTCACGCAGCGTCCGCTCTGTCTCCTGGAGCTTGGCAGCAACCTGGGAGGAGATGTGGGACTCAGCTTCCGCTGGGAGGGTTACAAGGCAGCAGGCCAACTTCCGGGGTCCTTCCCGGGGAGCAGACAGCAGACACGTGAGCGAGCAGCCCCCGGGGCCCAGGACCACGCGGCGGCCAGGGCCGGCTGAGGGGCAGCCCCAGGCTCGGGTGCGGCCAGGGATCCTCCCAGCACTGGTCAGTTAGGGAAACAACCAGTGTAGCAAAACTAAGATGCTGTCAGAGGCTGTGGGCAGGACAGGGACGCCTTTCGTTGCTCTCGTCTTTGTTGCTACACTTCACGCAGCTCGGTGAGGCTCGGCATCTTCCAATCCAAACGACAATGCGGTGAGAGCCCAGAGCCCTCCTCCAGGAGCCACAGGGCGCTCCCAGGCCCTCCCAGCGCAGGACGAGACCTGACGAGCCTAGGGACGCAGACCTGATCCCGCGCCTCGGTCAGGGCCTGAATTAGGTCCTCAGACTTGCGGTAGTGGGCCCTCTCCACACCGTCACAGCGCTGCTGCCAGTCCAGCTGCAGCTGCGTCTTCTCGCGCTCCAGGCACCGCTCCCTCTCCGCGGCCGCGGACAGCTGCTGCTTGTACCTCCGGGGACGGGAAAAGCACGGAGGTTAATGTCTTGCACGTGAAGAGCAAAGGTGGCAGGGTGGAGGGAGGGCGCTACCACACTGCAGCCGGGCCCCTCGGGGGCCCCCTGTGGGCTGGCCCTGTTCCCGTGCACTCGTGGACACGAGGCACGCTTGGCGCAGCCGGGAGGAGTCTGCAGTGTGGATGCAGAGGAGACAGGGCATCTGCGGGCAGGCTCGGGTTCAGAGAGGAGCAGGGACTCCCAACACCAAGGAAACCAGCACCACGGAACATCAAACTCAAGAAACAGAAGAACCCATTCGTAAGAAGAGAAGGGAAGAAAGCCAACAAACTTGCGGGAAAAAAAAGAGAAGTGGTTCCAGCAGAGAAATGTGAGAAGGTTTCAGAGCAACCACCAGAGAGCAGAGCGGGCCGAGCCGGAGAGCTCGGAGCCGCCAGGACAGAGAGAGCCTCCAGAGCTCAGAGGACCGACGTCCATCTAAGAGCGGGTCCAGAGAGATCAGAACGGAGGAGACAAAGGAGAAAAGCCCGCACAACTGGGGGGACGCACGTCCTCGGACCACAAGGGCTCGCCAAGCACCAGGCAGGGGGAGCTTTACAGGACCACACGCACAGACGCTGTGTGCGGTGCTGGGTTCCAGGATGAAAGAGAAGCCTAAGGGACAGAGAGAGAGAGTGCCATATGGGCCCCAGGCTTCTCGTCGGCCGCGTGGGGCAACGCATGGTGGGGGGCTCCAGACGGCCTCTCCCCCAAGGGTGGCGGGCTGTGTGCACGACCGGATGGGCGCCCCTGATCGGGTGAGCCACATGAGACCCTGTCCTGCCCACTGGAGGGTTTCCTGCCGGTCTTGAGAGGTAGCTGCCGGGAGGCCACACTGTCGGGGCTCGCAGCCGCGGGGAAGGACCTCTGCCACCACCCTGAGGAGCCTGGAAGGAAAGGGCAGCCTGGCCGGCACCGTGGTCCCAGCCTAGTGAGACCCTCTGCCGGGGACACAGCTGAGCCGAGCCGAGCCGGACTCCTGACCACAGAAACTGAGATAATAAATGGGCGTCGTTAAAGCCACTAAGTTTGCAGTGATTTGTTCCAGATCAATAATAAAGTAACACACGATGGGTTTAAAACCCAGGGGAAGGGGCGCCTGGGGGCTCAGTTGGTGAAGCAACTGCCTTCGGCTCGGGTCATGATCCCGGGGTCCTGGGATCAAGCCCCGCATCGGGCTCCCTGCTCGGCGGGGAAGCCTGCTTCTCGCTCTCCCACTCCCCCTGCTTGTGTTCCCTCTTGCACTGCATCTCTCTGTCAAATAAATAAATAAAATATTTTTTAAAAATCCAGGGAAAAAGTGATTTGGAATTTAGCATCCTAAACCCAGCAAAATCAGCACTCACGCAAAAAGGCAAACATGGGCACATCTTCAGACACAAAGGCTCACAGCAGTGATTTGCAGGGCTTTGCAAACCGTGGTGAAAGCCCACTTATTTTTTTTTAAAGATTTATTTATTTATTTTTGAGAGAGAGAGAACACAAGCTGGTGAAGGGGCAGAGGGAGAGAATCTCGAGCAGACTCCCCCCGAGCGAGGAGCCCGACTCGGGGCTCGATCCCAGGACCCTGAGACCACACCCTGAGCCAAAACCAAGAGTCGGCCGCTCAACCGCCTGAGCCACCCAGGCACCCCCGAGTTGTTTATTTTTAAAATGTCCACGGAGAAGCGCCCAGCTAGCTCAGTCGGTAGAGCATGAGACTCTTAAAATGTCCACGGAGGGCCAATACTTTGTAAAACGTCAGGAACCGCCACAGCGCTGTCCCGTGACCATGAAGTTCCCGAATGCCCATGCTCCCCGCACTTGGATCCCGTGGAGCAGACACACAGAACTAAATCAGAAATCAGTAACAAAAAGATATCTGGGAATCTCAAAATGATGGGAGACTTAGCAACACATTTCTAAACAGCCCATGGACCAAAAAAGAAATCACAAGGAAAATCAGAAAGTATTTTTAACTGAATAATATCAAAATTTGTGGGACACAGTAAAATAGTGCTCGGAAGGAGATTCACAGCATTAAATGCTTACGTTTCTCAGAAAAAAACAATGGTTCAAAAATAATAATCGAGGACCCCACCATTAAAAGCTGTCAAAAGAACATCAAATTAAAGCCAAAGGAAGCAGAAGAAAGGAAATAATCTTTTGAGAGTAGATGTCAATGAAAGTAAAAACCCAGAAAACAACTGAGAAAAGTCAATGAAACCAAAAGCTGGCTCTTTGAAAAGATCTGTAAAATCGACAGATGTCCAGCTAGGCTGATCACGAACAGGACAGAGATGGTTACGACAGGCTCTGCACACACTGGGGAAACATAAAGAAACACCATGAACAGTTCCGTGCCAATAAAGTCAACAATGACACGAAATGGGCAAACTCACTGAAAGACACAAATTCCCCAAACTGACACAGAAACAGAGAAAACGTGCAACAAGCATGCAGAGAAGCCAGATGCAAAGTGCACACAGACGGAATGCGGAGTGGCAGGCGGGGCGGCCGCAGGGCTGGGGCCGGGGCCAGGGTTCACGTCTCGGCTGCGGGGGAGGCTGAGTCAAGAGTCAGCAACCGTACAGCTGAAACAAGGGCATCTGTTGTATTTAAGTTACTCCTCGAGAGAGAGAACACGTTCTTTACACAAGCGTTCCTTAGCGATCACACAGGAGACACGAAGCAGCGACTGTCCACACGGGACCGAGCAACAAGAACGCTGCTGTGGTGCTCGCTCCGGACCCGGGCCCGTTCCCGGGGAAAGGCCTTCTCCGGCCACCCTCCATCACCCCGTCCCTCCTGTGCTCTCCCTTCTCACGACCAGATGTTCTTCTTCTCTTTCCTATGTCTTTCTCCCTCAATAGGATGCAAGGCCAGGGCCTTGATTCTGTTCCCTTTTGTACCCGCAGCACCCAGAACAGCACCAGGCCCCTAGGAGGTGCGCAGCGAAAAGACCGCTCTTGGGGAAGCTGTGGGGACAGTCACCTTCCGATGTCCTGCTGGCATCTGGCCAGATGTGCCTTGAGTTCTACCTCCTCTTCCTGCAGCGACTGAAGCTGAAGGTCCTTGGAGATCATCTCCTTGGACAGCTGAGCGATCTGGGCATCCCAGCCGGATTTTAGAGCTGATGCATCTTCCCGAAGTCTGCACAAAGAAGGAAAGCTGTGTGAATGTGGGTGTGGTGCTCACTCAAGCTTTCCAACACACACACACCCACATGCACGCCACCCTCAAAGGAAACCCACACACCAGTGTCTCCAGATCAGGGTGGAGACTTCCTCACCCAGATTAGGAAACGGTCCTACCCGAGAAGAAATACCCACCCGTCCATCCCACCAACCCAGGTGCCCACTGAACACCTACAACACGCCAAGTCCGTGCCAGACGTGCAGAGGACAGTGAGCCATGGGGGTCTTGAGGTGGTGCCTCTGGGCTCACCTTTGCCACGCCTCGGGCAGCCCCTCAACGTGCATACACATGTCTTCAAGTTCAACGGTAAGACGAGGTCCTATAGAAGCCCTACACTCCCTGGTAGAATCACCACAACTTGTATAAGCTTCCCCAGAAGAAGAGCTCTAAAGAAGACACCTAGAGGGGGCGCCTGGGTGGCTCAGT